GATTTTCTCTTGTTGTTTTTGAGGGGAAAGGAACAGAGTCTTGATGGAGTTTTAAGTCGTAAATGGTGTTGAGGATGGCGGGAAGAGTACGCTCGCTTTTTTGCTTATTTTTCTACGCTATTCCTCAAGCCAGATTGTTTTTTTTCTCTTCTCCCTCTCTTTTGTTTGCTGCTGTTTGTTTTTATTGGTGAGTGCTGCTCTTGGGTGCCCGGGAAGGAGACTGTGTGGGTTACGAGGTGATGTTCTAAGACTTGGATAGTTACAGGTGAAGAATAGGGTAGTAAGTAGTTAAGGTGCTCTCTCTCTCTCTCTCTCTCTCTCTCTCTCTCTCTCAGATGGGATGAGTGAGGATCTCCTTTCACTTTTTCGAGAGGTCGTGTTTAAAAGAAAGTCCTCCTCCCTCGGCCGACAGATCTCATAATGACTGGGATTTGATTTCCTACCCAAGTTGAGAGTGTTCGTGTATGTGTGCACCGAACATGTGCGTGGGTGAGTGTATGTACGCGTGCGCTCAGAACGTACGTGTGTGTGTGTGTTTACCCACGTTTATGAAGCGTAACTGGTCAAATTGTGTTCATCTGGTCCAAGGTGACGTGGTGGAGTAAGGGAGGTGGGTGGGGGAGGGTGTATAGGAAATGATTAACAGTAGTTGGCTGCTTCACCTTAACGAGGGACATTAGTGAGGCTGTTAGTCACCACCCATGTTGTTAGGGGTCACCGAGTCTCTGCCAGTTTTGTTTTATATTTCTAAGGCCACTTCACTAACCGAGCCTGAATAAGCATCATATAGGGTATGTTTATATGAAGGGTCCCTAATGTGTTAAATATGTTGTGTATTTATATGTAGGGTCTGTAACGAGTGTTGTTTACATGACGTGTTTCCAGCCCTTGTTTTTAGGGAACCTTCATATCAAGCCCTGAGTCAACAAAGAGGAGGAGGCCCTTACAATGCACCCTCGTGGAATCCCCCTGAGCCCAACCTGTACCTGGAGCCTGGTTCAGGGATTTTATCTCCATCGTCTTGCAACACTTCCTTATAGGTATGGGGGGATGTCTGATCTCCCGAGCTGTGACTACTCGCTGGCCGCATGCTAACGTCGACTTTGTCTCGTAAAGAAAATGGACTCCTCCCTGTCTGCTGGTCATGTTTATAGCTGCGCCCCGAAAGCCACCTGACGCTGATGTTAACCCAATCCAGTCCTCAGCTGCACACACCTTAAACCCGTGGGCCAATAAAAACCTCTGATCCTATCGCATGCGACTTTGTAATTGGCTGATTAAGGTGCAGTCGATGGAAGGGGCAAATTAAATGATTCGCTTTCGAGCCACGCCGTAAAATACGACATCGTGTGTGAGGGAGGGAGGAGGGGAATGGTGGAGGAGGAGGGGAATGGTGGAGGAGGAGTGGTTTGTGGCATCTGTTCTGATTAGGATCGTCTGAGAGGTCATCATGACTTCAAGGAGTAGGTGACGTCGGAGATGTTGATATGCAGCGTTGGTGACATCATAATCATCTAATGAAGTCAGGGAGGTCTTAGACTGATAAGGTGTGGCTGGCGTGTGCCGTTATAAACTAAGATGATGTATGTGGCGGTGTGCTACCAAAGGTTCGTGTTCAAATTTATCTCCATAAGTGAAATGTTGACCACACTCTACCCAGCTCACGTAGGCCACGGTCACAAGGCCACACAATTACATAGACTGAAGCGTAAATCTGTGTATCTCTCTATTATTATTATTTAATCCCCAACCAGAGAGAAGGATTAACGAGCGAATGTCTCAAGAATTTGTACCCTGGGCTTCCTGTTTGTACCAGAATAAACAAGTTCTCGGACCCTGTCTTGCCTGCAGGAAGCACACCCACTTTAAGTGTTTGAGGGGGTGTTGTGTACCGTGTTGGGCGTTGCTTTTATGGCACTGGCGATTAGGGTTGTAATGGTATTGGAAATGATGATGGCTTGTGTTAGGTCAATGAGGATGGTGTCTGGTGGTTAATGTTGGAGGGGATTTGTCTTGTCCTGATGGTGGTAATGGTGAGTTTACATTAATGATAGTGAAGGAAGTGGCTCGTTAATAATGGTGATACTGACGTGTTCTCTGGGTTGCCAAATCTTTTATGTCTTGTTAGTGATGGTGGTGCTGGTAGTAGTAGTAGTGGTGGTGCAGGATGATGGTGATAATGTACCACCACTCAGAAAACCCTCACATTCCTGATGGGGTGAGTCACTTGCAGTATTTGGTCAACAGTTTGTATACCTGCTGTTGTTAGTGGTGATTATGCAACTTATTCACAATCATGGAATCTTTAACATAGCGCTAAGTCAATTAACGGAGCACATGAAGATTAGCACCTAGCTTATATCACCTCGAAGATTAATTACCCTAATCTGAGGTAAGGTAACAATCTCTCCCCCCCCACACCCGTCTAGGGAGCTTTAGAGTGTTTAATCAACGTGTGAAATGAGCTTTAGGGGGGGGCGGGGATCTAATTATCAGGTGATCCCGAATAACAAACGAGACTAACATACTAAGTCAACAAGAGGTCAGCCACTGTCCACAAGCTCAGTGTGTCCTTGCCTCCAGGAGTCTTGAGATTACCTCCTCCGTCACCCTGAATATCCCTAACCAAACAAAGCCAGTGGAGGTTCGCAGTTATAAGGCAACATCGGCATATCCTTGGGGGAGGTGGCGGGTCGAAACAAAATGGTGTGTAGCAGGTGGGGCGCGGTGTGCTGGTGGTGGTCTTCAAGGCAAGTCGTCTGACCGGTGGGAGCTCTGCCCAAGTTGATCTTTATCTAGCGGTTTTGTGCCGTGCTTGGCTACTACAGCTCTGAACTACTCACACCCCCCCCAGCTTGGCAGCCAGAAGGCTGAAAATATACAGTTACATATTTGGGGAATGGGTTACGAATTACAAATAATATACAAGTGACATAAGTGACACAAATAAGACATATAGTAACTTAGATGGGGATCAGCTCAAAATACAGTTCATTTCAACATAGTGACAGTGTAGGGAGCAGTGTTTACTGGGAGTGAATACACTGATTTATTACATGTTATTGATAATTTTTACAATGGTTGGGACTGGGCTGTTCTTATTGCGTCTTCCGTCTAGTGGATACATCTCCCTTTCCCTCGTTTTCAGTGGTATGTTTACATTGTGTCCGCGGGCGGTAGGGTCTTGGTATACAGTGCAAGGTTTTCCTGGGACTGTGCAATCCGACACGTTAATTTCACGTAATTACAAGGAAACTAAAATATGTTGGAGGGATTTTGTAGGGGAATTAACATAACATATGCCTTGGAATAGATTTTAAGTGATACTCTTTTTAGGCTACTGCAGTTAGCCGAGTCCGGGAAGAGTACGAGCCTAAGTGTGTTTTTTTTTTATCGTACAAAACTATATATCTTCGTAGGTTCAGAGTGTCAACTAGTACTGGGGAGAGGAGGAGTTGTGATTGGTAGTTGACTGGCCGTTTAGACTTCAGTGAGATGACTAGTGCATATGAAAGATTCTAATAGAGGAAGTGGATGTAGTTAACTCTGTGTTCCCGCCGAGTCATTTTGGAGCAGGAAAAAAGTGTTCTGAAGGCAAATACATTTTTTTAATTACTTTTTATACACGTACCTGCAAATATAAATTGTTTAAGGTGATTTTTTTTGTATATTTGGTTTCTCTAATATTTACAACTTTGAATTAATGAGCTTGTGTGTGTGTGTACCCTACAGCAAGCTCTGGCCAGCCATTGTTGATGACCGCACCAGCTCACGGCCCGCGCCACACATCACATGTTATATCAATTTACATCTGAGGGAATCCTGGCACCCTGTCCCTGCCACCACCTCCCTGTCGTTGCACCCCACCTCCCTCGTCCCTGCCAACACCTCCCTGTCGTTGCGTCCCCTTGTCCCTGCCATCTCCCTGCCACCTCTCCATTGCTTTTTTATCGTTTTCGCTGACGGCCAAGAGTGGTAACTGGTTATTTTATGTGATATTTATGCCCCAGAGGATCATATACTTAGTAAAATAAACAATAATAAACGAATAGACTACTGATTTTAGCTGTGTGTGTGTGTGTGTTGTAGAGATATTTAAGATATGTTAACTTGGCTCTGTGAGTGTGGGGAAACTGTGGTATTGGTGTGTGGTTAAGAGATTGTGGTAGAGAGACTGTGGTAGTGGTGTGTGGTGGAGAAACTGGGGTATTGGTGTGTGGTAGGAAGATTGTGGTAGTGGTAAACTGTGGTAGTGGTGTGTGGTAGAGATTGCAGTAGTGGTGTGTGGTAGAGAGATTGTGGTAGTGGTGTGTGGAAGAGAAACTGGTAGTGGTGGTGGAGAAACTGTGGTAGTGGTGGTGGAGGGTGGGCGGTACCTGTTGATGTTGCAGAGGTTGTGGTCGAGGCTTGGTGGGGGGTATGACTCGGGCAGCGGGCAGGGCCACTGACCCGTATCTCCCCCCTCCCCCTACCCTACCTTCCCTCCCCTCACACAAACACACACCTGGCCACCCTGTTTGTTATGGTCGGCCCCTGTAGCACAAAATTGGTGTTGGCAGTGCATCAAGTTGGTTGTAGTACTGACGTGACATTTTCCAGTTAATGCGTTATTTGTTTGGAAAAGTTTGTGTTTTGTAATTACTGTTATCTTTTAACACAATGATAACCGTAAATTACATACATGGGTTTAATTTAAATGGCTGGGGCAGTGTGAGGCGTCGTACAAGGATAGAATGTGTTGCGTAGGTGACACCGCCCATTCCTCCTAGATAGTAGAAGATAGCTCATTGGATAGGCTAATGGGTGAACAGTTCATAGTTTTTTCTTATAGTACGGGTAGTGTAAAAGGCAGGGATGGGTTATGAAGAATGGCTTCGTGAAGTGTGAATAGAGACTACCGAATATGGGTGGATATACAGGTACCTATTATATTTTATACTCATGCTTGTTGTGACTGGGATAAACCTGTGTGTTAACTGGTGTGTGTTTTGTTCTTGCAGGACCCAACGCAAAATATGGATCTCGAACTTTTCGAGGCCCTGCTGGCCAACATGCAGAACCTTCCCCAGGGTGCCTACGACGAAGTAGATGACGACGACGACGACGATTACGAGGACGACGACGACGATGATGATGACGACGACTACGATTACGGTGGTCATGAACACAACATCCACACCATGGCCAACCCCTACGGCGGTGGTGGAGAGGGAGCGGGCGGCATGGCGGGTGGAGAGATGGGGGGTGTGTCCCTCCCCACTATGCAGACAATGAGCATCCTCCAGGGACTCCTGAACATGAATCCTGCTGCCCTTCCTGGAGGCGTCCCAGACATGGGAGGTGGCATGAGTGGGCCCATGAGCTCGGGCATGCCAGGCATGGGGGCCCCCATGGATGGTGGGGCTGGGAGTTTTCTCTCAAATATGCCATCCTTCTTACCTGCCATGAACCCAGAAATGGCAGGCACTCTTGCTGGCGCCTTTGCTGGTGGCATGAACGCCCTTATGGACGGTTTTGCTGGAGGCAATGGTGGAGGTGGAGCCACTGTTCAGGAGTATGATGATGACGAACTTCTCTCTGATGAAGAAGACGAAGATGATGATGAGGATGAAGAGATGGATGAGAGAAGTGGACTAGGGAGTGTGGCCGTTGCCACTGCAGGTGTGGCCGCTGTGGGTGCTGTGGGAGGGCTCATGGCTTCTGGGATGCTAGGCTCTTCACACCCGTCTGTCGGACACCCAGTACACAGTCCTCATCCTGGCCACATGCAGCATCGTGGCCACAGCCCTCTACCAGGACATCATCAACATCCTGGAAATGCATTGCTCCCTGCACATGGTTCTCACCCAGGACATCCACCTCCTTTAGGCTTTGTGCATGGTTATAACTCGGCAGATATGTTAAGTCAGCCTACCTCCCATCCACATATGTCACCGAGTATAGCAGGGCCCATACCATCAATGCACCACACAAACATGGCCCCGAGCATCAGTGGAGGATCTGTGAGAAGTGTAGACCCCTTAGCAGGGGTCTCCATGGGCTTGGCAGGCATGGCAGCAGGAGCAGGCATCTTGGCGCCTGTTGTTAGTAATCTTCTCTCCTCCTCTGTTGGGAGGTCTTTACCCAAGCTGGATAATTCTGACGCCTCCAGTGTAACTCTTGTTGGTGACGATTCCTTGAACACCTCCACCAAAACCCTTCCACCCCCAGACCATCCAGCAGACCCTAATTCTGTAGCTGCAGCTGCAGCAGCACTAGAAAAGTTGCATATCTCACCTCCCGAAAAAGATGTTTCCAAGCCTATTGCCAAGCTTGGTCCTGCAACCACCCCTAAGAAAGATGCTCCAAAGGAAAAGAATGAGGAAAACGATAGTGAAGGTGAAGAGGAGGATGAAGATGAATCTGAACCTACAGAAGAGGCAGCGAAGCCCACTAGAGTATCCGCACCCAAGGACGACTTGGAAGATGACAAGGCCAGTGTAGGGGCTGACTCTGTCCCAGGGTCTGAAGAAGCTGGCGATGGCAAGTCAGATACAGAAAGTGTCAGGAAGAAGACGCCATCGCCTGTCCTTGTTGACAAGTTGGGCAGACTCAGTCCCACTGGAAGTGACTCTTCACCTGTATTAGAGTCCGCAAGCTGTGCTTCTATCACTGACTTGGCAAGTGCGACGGAATCGATGCGAGACTCTGATACAGACAATCACTCAGATGCTCACAACGTTACAGCCAACTTGTCAGACCTAGACAATGACATCCATGAGACGCAGCCAAAAGTGCGTGCCCCTCCACAGTATGCAGTCGGAGCTCTCCCTGTTGTTATTGAGAAACCAACGTTTGGCTGGCAGTCAATGGTTGGCTTAGACACGGCAAAAGATGCACTTAAGAACCTCTTCTTGAGTGAGGCTTTCCCAGAAGTGTATGAGGGCACTCTAGGTACCTGTAAGGGTGTGCTACTATTTGGACCATCTGGATCAGGAAAGACTTGCCTTGCACGAGCACTTGCCAAGGAAGCAAATGATGCAGTTTTGATTGGCATATCGACAGGATACCTGGCGCAACAGCCTCCCCTTGAAGCCCCTAAAATAGTGCGGTTTTTGTTTGATCATGCCCGCATGCAAGGATCTGCAGTCATATTGTTTGACGAAGTTGATGCCCTGTGTTATGATAGGTCAAGCGAGACGGCACTTCGAGCAAAAGCTGAATTACTGGCCCAAATTAGAGGTGAGAGAAACTTTTATTTATTATTATTATAATAGTTATTTTTCCTACTGATTGTGTATATAATATATATACTGTATATATAAGTTAAGATACTGTACTTGAGCAAACTAACAATTGGCCATCTTCTCACCTCCAGGTATGACGACTCTCAACCCGCCGTACCCGCCTCACATTGACACAACTACCTTCAACAGTGGTATCATGGTCTTGGGCACCACTAACCAGCCATGGCTCCTAGAAGATGAACTTAGGAGGATCTTCACATACAATATTCACGTCAAACTTCCGGGGGAGAAGGCGCGAGAGGAACTCTTGAGAATGTTCCTGCAGGCACTGCCACATAATATTAATGATGATCAGTTCAAGTGCTTAGTAGCGAAGAGTGAAGGGTAAGTACATGGTCACTTATAAACCATCTACACCTCTTGTTAAAAACACAAATAAAACTTGGGATTTTCAGTTTTTCAATGAGTAATAAATTTAAGCCAATATTTTTATCAGGGTAAAAATATGAAACAACCTGAAAAACTTGATCATAACCCCCACTGTTCTCGCCTGCAGGTACTCAGCGGCTGACATCAACAATGTGGTCAGACAGGTGGCACACATGCCTCCAAGTGAACCAAACAAGTACATTCAAAACACGCCTCGGGCTGTTACCTATGTAAGTGAAAATGATTAATATTCATTTATTACACTACTCTACCTTGTGTTTATTTTTATATTTCCAAGATATTACTTTAGTATCAAAAATATGTACAGGTAAGGAAAATAAAATGCAATATTTTTTTAATTATTTTTTTCATCTGTTGTCATTGTCAGTATAGTATAGTAAGACTTCACTTTATTGGTCTAATTCAGACTTAAATTTGGTAATGTAATCTGAAGTTTGGGTAAATCCACAAATATTTTTCAACCCTTTATGATACAGTATAAATTAGCATTACACAGTCCTGCCAACAGTTGCCATAGTTGACCCCAAGATGCTGTTTGGTTGTAATAATCATAATACATAGAGCAAAATTATTTCACTGAGCTGTTCTCTCCAAAAGTCCCTCATGGTCAGGACAACCAAGTGATGTAACTACTGTAGTGTTATCCAGTGGTGTGAGTCTCCCATTATTGTTACAGTATACTGTATTTGGTGAAACAATATCACTTTCAAGGCATCTGTATTGTTAATTTTTTTGCTTCTGGTAGCCAAGAGTTTTATCAGCTTTATACTTCATAAAAGATTTGGTGACCTCAACTTCTCCCTTAAAGAGAATCATTGAAACATTACGTTAAATCTTTCATACATTTCTGTACTTTACTGTCAACCACATGACGCCTTTGAACATGAGTCATTGTCACTGTGTTCCAACCACATACTCCTGTACTGTACTAAACAAACTGAGCAAAAGGGTGGTGTATTAAAACATACCATGAACTGAGTTGGCAGTCCTTCTGAAATGTAAATCAAATACTGTACTGTAAATCACAAGAGAGATTGTCACAACCTAATTATTCATGTGTGAAGGACACTCATGTGTGCAGTATCAAGTGTTCACCTCTAAATTATATCCGTTCATACATATAGTTGTACCATTATTTACTTTTATCATTACAAATCAACTATGAAAAGTTAAATCTTTAATGAAAAACTTAAAAGTGCATAAATTATACAAGAAAGAAATGTTTCCTGAAATCATAATTAAGTTTGGTAAAATCATGTTCAAGTACTTGAGGCTCCTGTGATGTGAAGTGTTAATTTATGTGTACTGTACTGTACTTCACAAGACTCTTATTAACATTGCATCTCTTTAATTCACAGGATGACCTCGCCACTGTGATGACTGACTACAGATGTAAATTTACAGAGGATGTGTCTGTCAAATACCAGAGTTACATCAAGGCCGCCACCCACAGATCGGGTAGGTGTCATACTACATGTAGTTGGTCCTGATGTTTAGAAAAAAAAGTTAGTGGTAATGTGACAAAGGGTTAGTTAGGGTTGTAAAAAAATGGACAAAAAGTATACTAGTAATATATTTTTCTTAGTGCAGTACTTGGAGATAGATGTTAGAATGTAGCATTAGATGTTTTTATTATAAGGAATTACATGTACTCATAAATACTGTAGTTCATTTCCATAAATTTTTCATCTTTCTTGTACATTACTATTTTATGACTCCTATTTTAACTATGGCCTTTATTTTCTCCTACAGAAGGGAGGCGGGAAGATGCTAAGAGTGAGGAGAAGGGTAAGCCTAAGGGCGTCAAGAGGTTCGGCCAGAGGATCGCCAAGTCCATTGCTGCCGCGCTCGTTGCTGTGATAGATTAAACTGTGTCTAGATTATAGTGAAAAGACAGACCCTGGCAGTGGGTACAGTCCAAGGCTGCACCTCTCGAGTTCTGTCAGCACGAGCCATGGTCACTGCAAGTCGCAGGGATGTTGTAATTAGCTTTGTACAGTCTGTCTGTGATGAACCATTTTTTTTATAATTCGACCTGCATTGGCCATGATCCGGGCTGAGTACGATAGTGACCCGAAGAGCCTTCGTCAAGTGAAATGACGAGGCACTTCATGCGTTGTTGGCTTTTTTAGAGCAAAGTTTCGCAGTCGTGCCCCAGTCAGGGTCGGAAGAACTTAGTCACTCGAGTCATTTCCTGATCCCCACCATCTACAAGCAAACTCCGCCTGCCCACCCGCCTATCCCTGCCCCTCCGTCGATATCCCTCCCGCCCACCACACACCCACAACTCTGCGGGCAGCAGCCTACAACGAAGCCCACAGCCCAGGATTCCTGAAAGCCCAGCAGCCTACGGTTTGCAAGTGTAAATAAAATTTAATGAGAGAATATTTAAAGCCAAGTGATAATGGCCTTCAGAGAAAGAGTGATGTGTCTCCTTGTGTCTTTGTGCTGTTGTGAAGTGCTGAGAATAATCCTCTTGAGTGCTACCTAAGTGCTGAATATGTTAATGGTGACTATTATTCCTACCTGCACAAGTGCCTTTATTTGTTATATGTGATCTAAAACATGTGACTGTGTTCTGACATCCACTCACTGAGTCTGCTGATGAGTGCTGAAGTGCTGTGCTTAGGAATGTTCCATTTAGTGCTGAGGGTTATGATGTGCAAGAGAGTGCTACTGAGGCTGCCGGGTAGATGTATACCATTGGGGATCAACTACTTTACAGCATCATAAAGGTGTGGGAATTTTAAGATGCCTGGTCTATGTTGTACAAATCTTCTTCAATAGATAATCATTCATTTCGCCTAAGTCACGTGATCTCAAAAGTGCGTAAGCGTTTACTTCCCATTTTATAACGTAGATAAAATGTGTGTTTTTAGTGATTTACAGTGATAAACATACAATAAGTTTCTTATTATTATTATTATTATTATTATTATTATTATTATAATTATCATTATTATAATTATTATTGTTATTGCAGTTGACATGGAAACTAAAAAAGACATAGAAAAATTATTACCAGAGTCAGAATCATAGATGGAGTGACTAAAGGTGACACCTAAAAAAGACTTATATGCTATTCTGGCAAGTATTTCATAATGGGCATATGCTCCTAGTGATTTGCTGAATAGAGACACTGTTGAGGAAGCCGTAGTAAGAAGCTGTGGGTAAGGGTACATCACTGTGGCATTGTTCTGACCTGCTCTTTTGTGCTTGGGGTAAATTTGCAAATGGCCTTTTAGTAATTGTTAGTTGTGGCAGGGTTTTATTTTTAATATACCTTGAAAATGTGTAATATTCTGTAAATGGATCTTTTAAAAATATTGTACATTAGCTCTGTTATTCTGTTACTTTCTCAGTCCGTCCGCTGGATAATTGGCATTATGTGTATATGGCAATTTTTTTGTACAAGATCTCAAGGAAGGCTAAATCCCAAGACAAAGGAGTCGTGTCCAGTTAAAGACTAGCCTTCAAGTCTGTGTGAGTGCTGCCGCTGGTTACACTTATTGCTGCCTTGTGGTAAGTGGTCACGGTGGGCAGTATGTCACTTGTATGACTCAAATTGAATTTTTAAGAAAAGTGGCAGTGCTGGTACACCCCGTGAGTACTTACCCTGGCACAAACGGTCCCCATAGCTGTATAGTTCTTGTAATGTTGGTGTCTGACTGCAGTGATGATGGTACAGGGCGGTGCTTATCCTCGGCTGGGGTGGTGGAATTCAGCTTCTTGCTTTAATTTGTATTGTTGGTTCTAGATGTGATTTTTATGATTTTTTGGTTGGTTACGGTAGATATCTAATGATTTTATTTTTATTTTTTTTATTTGTTTACTCCTGCTGTTCGGCCTGATTTTAAGGGATCCTTCGGACTTTTGAATGAACAAGTCCCTGTGGAATTCCTTCACTTTTGGCCATTGGGTGAGCACCTAACCTGCTTATACACTAAATTCAGCTGCCCCTGTTTCGCTTATTTAGAAATATGGATGGCGAGCATTCCCCTCCCCTGTTCCTTCCCTGGACCAAGGCTCTGGTTGGCTCCTCACTGATCACGTCTCGATAAAATTATAAAATCCTCTTGCTCCTTCAGTCTTCTTTATTAATAGAAATATGTTGCCACTTTTAAACCTTAGTAAGTTGTATTTAATGTTCTTGAGTTCCTGCTTTTATGTTTTGTCCCAGGAGGATGTGGCTGTAGGAGCCCCAGGCTGAAGGTCATGATAGATGGCCGAGCTGTACCTCGGATCATATGCTAGCCTACAGAGTATCTGCACCCCATACTTCCAAGTGCACCGCCGTTTACATGTGTGAAAAGTTTACTTTTAATTTAAATATTGCATTTATAGAGCCTCTGTTTTAGCCCGTAGCATTTGTTCATGCTTAGCTGTTAAGGATGTATAACAGACTGTGAAACAGTCTTGTGTGTGAAGTTAAACTATGGTGTCGCCACAGATCTTTCTGGGCCGTATGGGTAGTGTTCCTCCCGGCCTCCCAGCGATCCCCCGTAGTTATAAATGACTACCCTCCGCTCGCCCAGACAATCCGAGAGTGTTGTTGTTATAGTGTAGGAGCGTCCTCCCTCTGCTGGGTGTTGTCCAGCTACTCTGGGGGGCTTGTCTCTAGCGCACACGTGGACGTCGCCTCGGCGTCTCTGTCAAGTGATTATTGTGGTCATGATGTGATTGTGGTTTGTACCGTAGAAAGAGTATATTTGATCAGAGATGGCAATAGAATTTGTTATAAAACATGACGCGCACAAACTTTACCAAGATTTTTATTTACAACCACAAATACTACTGCTACCCCCCACTGTTGGCCTGTATGTGAGCTGGTGATGACTGCTGGCCGTCTGCACGTCCTATATGGCTTGACCAACGGTGCTGCCAGTGCAATAAGCGGTCTTTCAAGACACATGATGCTAGCAGCTTTGCAATGTTAATTTACCACACCCCATCTCCATAGAATGTAAGGAATACTGTGAACTAATGTATTATGGTGTTGATGATGTGTGTGTTTGTATCGTTTAGTTATATGCCTGTTTTTCATCACTGTCCAGAATTCTGAAACACGGTTGAGGGGGTTTAATAGCTCAAACAGTCCAGGGACTTTTCCTAACAAAGTATACTAATGAGATATATTTGTAGAGTGAAGGACTATCTCGCATGTCCCAAGCAGCCACTCTCGATCACCCAATTTATGTTTAAGAATTCTGGTGTGTGCTTCTGCTTTATACTTACCCGCCAAAGGTTGCTTTTTTTATTCCAGTCCAACGTGTTGAGGTCAGTCAGTCTTTACCCACCCCGAGCCCGTCTTTCCCAGTAGCAGTTAGGTAGATCTATTTTTGCCTTGGCTTGTGATGCACAGTGTGGAGAGGAGGAGGAGGGCCTGGAAGAGATTTTCCACTGCGTGACAAAGTCTTTTAAGGCTCAAACTCGCATGTGTTCAGTTTACCAGCTAAGGCCTTCATGCCTCTCTTAAGTTTCAGGATCATATCCAAAAGATCGTCTTCCCAGCACTCGCGTGTGTACACCCGAGTGGCTTGTGGCAGTACGAAGAATAAAAGTTAGATATCTCAATAGGAAAAGTTGAGACTTGTCTTGGCATCAATATATACCTCGAAGTTCTTAACAACGGTGTTTCGTACTGAATTAACAAACCTCTAAGTGAGTCGACAGATTTGTATGGAAAGATGCAGGAAGAGGCGAGATACCACAACTTCCTGTAATCGATTTCTGAGATTAGTGTCAGCATCCGGGGCACAAGAGCACGGGATAATGACACTCAGAGCAACGACAGTGAGATTGGAACGTTAAATTTGACCACATTCAGTATAAAACAGTTTAGTACCGTCACTTAGTTGTATGGGGGGCCTACGGAAACTAATTGATTGAACAAGATAACGTAGTTTACCATAGATGTCTGTCAGGTGTGTGAAGAGCGGTAAAGAAACTTACCGAGAGAGCAAGGTAAAGGGTTAATCTGACAACTCGACCTCAAGGGTACATCCGGCAGCTGACGTACGACAAGTTCCCCTGCGGGCGTCCCCGAGGCCCTGGCTGCCCACCTCGGGTCAGGAAGGTCAAACAGCGATGAGGAAGCTCACTAGTCGCCTCCCTGTTTTCTCGTAATTTTTATTGCCAAATTCTTGTAACTTTTGCCGATAAAATTCAATTAGATACATCCACTTCATTTGGTAGTTATATACGCTGACCGCTCCAAGCCAATTCTTGTAATTTGAGGCCTGGCTGGCACGTGTTCATTAATCGTGAAGTAGCAGGGGAAATTTATTACTTTTTTCTTCTCAAAGACATCTGTGCTACAAATAGTTAAAAAAGACAATTGGTGAGTGGGAAAAGGCAATCAGCCTTGCGCTTTTCAGTACACACCTGTGTAGGCGTAGCTACCAAGTGTCATATTTCTCGGAGAACTGCAAGCTTATGTAAAAGTAGTAGTCGCCGTGTACATAACCCGAATTAAGTGCATTAAATAAGCTTTAAATTTGTAATATATAAGCCAATAAGTGTGTGCGAGTGACGGAGTAAAAATTATTGTTGTTAAGAATAAGTGGTCACCGTATTTGCCCAGCGCGAGGGTCGTAGCTGCGTCAGACTGCGACCGAGTGAAATGGCGGGAGGGTCTTGCCACCCGTCTTCCGTATTTTCACAGTTCATAGTTCATTTTTCTAGCCATGTAGACGCCCGTTTTCTTTCTTAAAATGTCATATATTTCATTCTTTCGCTCTTTTATGATTAATTCTGCTGCTCAGAGGAATATATTGATGAAGTTCAAACGTTTGCCAAGACTATTTAGCATATTTGAATATTGAGTTCTTAACTATATATATATATATATATATATATATATATATATATATATATATATATATATATATATATATATATATATATAATTTTTTTTCCTCAAAAACACAGCTGGACATTTTACGTATGGTTTCTCTGCCACAGAAACGTAAGAACCTTGTAATCTCTCTTACACCTGCATGTCAAGCGAGAAACATCGAGTCATCCCCTCCCACTCCCGTCCTGGCTGTAGACAGCTGCAGGAGCCCTCCGTCCCTCCGCCCGTACCCTGCTAACCATCTGGCCTCACAGAGCTGCTTCTGTGGTGCAAGCAGGTTCCGGGGGATTGCCAAGTGGAATTAGATCTTATCTAGCTAGGATGTGGTGCCTTTGGCTAGATGCTGGTCAAGTTTTTATGTGAATATACAGTATATGTCCTAGAGTTTATATAAATTTATTGGTTACATTCTATTTTTTGGCGTGTAGAAATATAAGTCAGAAGGATTAGTATATTAAACTGATCACAGCGTTAGATGTACCAGTCAAGGAAGACAAAAAAGAGTCCCCAGAGGCTGTATCCCTCACTGACCATCGCTGGTGTTTTTACAAGCCAAGAGAATAAACAAAACAAGACCTTCACCTAACTGCTTCCGAATATACTCCACACGACACGTTCATGCAGCGTTTTGTTGAGTTAATGTTTTGAGGCCGAGGATCCCACGGCTAGGTCTTCTTTCTCTCTCCGTCGTGCCTTCCATACGACTTACAATGTGATAAAGATGTGTGAGAGGCAGGTTGGTATGAATTATATCTTTTTTGTTTTGTAATTTGAGCCTAGAGTCAAGCCACCTGTATTTTTTATTGCCCCCCTCCCCCCTTACTAAGGCGAAGACCCTGAGTATAAGTGAAGTTAAGGTTTGTTTTACTTCTCTCGCGCTATACTGAGGCAGGGACATATGATGCAATAGACTGATGCCGCTTCAGTGAGTTTTATCTTGATATTGCTTCTATTTATCTTATTTCTCACTCTATCTAATCTTCTTTTCTTTCTGTATACACCCAGTTACCTTTTTTATTTCTCTCATTCTCTCACTTCTTGTTTCCGGAGGCAGATGTGGATTTTAGCTACCTATTTTAATGTTAACTTTCCCCCAAGAAGTTCCAACACGTCTTCCAAGAAGCTATAAACTCCAGAACCTATTTTAGCTTTGGTTTTAATGGTAACGAGTCTTCCGCTTATTGTTTTTGAGGGAAGATGGGAGGATTTGAACCCATCCATCTCCCTTATTGACACACTCGAGTCTTCCAACGATGTAATAGTATAAGTGATTAAGACAAGAATCTACTTAATTTTTCACGTTATTCAAGTGATGAAATTTGTCTACCTTATATTTTGTGGGAGCTTAATTTCATGTTTTAATATTCATACGCTTGCTTCTATCACTGAGGGACGACTTTCATAAAATACTACAGCTATTTTTTATATAATGTGTATATGTGTGTAATTCCTTCTCACCACGGGAAGGAAGCAAGTAATGGTCCACATCCGCCTATTTCTACTACACAATATTTTTTCTGGCTCACTTTGAATATATTCATTTTATGCCTATTATTGATGCAATACATTCCGATATTATGCCTTTCTTTATATGGTTTATGAGTCTCGGTGCTTTTTTTTATATATATACATACATTATTATGCAGGCCAAGCATTATCATGTTTTATTTTTCCCGTTTGTTTACATAAATCCCTGTTGTATTGTACCAAGAGCCTGAGTTGCTTGTCTCTATCTCTATCTCTCTATCTCTCTCTCTCCTGCTTGGGTTATGTCAAATGATTCCAATCTGAACCAAGTTTATTTTATATTCCAAGATGAAACGGCAAGAAAAAGGGTTTCCCAAAAATATAAATCAGTAGTAAAAAATATTGAAAGGTATTGTTAAAAAAAAGTTCAATCCGCTCCGCCTTACCTGTGTGATAATACTGATGTATTTATTAGACCCTGAAAGTGTAATTTGCTCTGAACATGCCCTGTTCAGTCTTTCATCTGGACGTGTTCTCTCTCCCCTTGAACACGCCCAGTTTACTCTGAACGTGTCCCTAGTTTCCTCTAAGAGCGTCAAAGATCCCCTCTAAACTCGTCCACCTCTTCTGACATGTTTACCCAAAGCGCAGTCATTGTTGTTGTACATTTGTGAATTATTAGATAGATATTTTATTGTTTTCTTGATATTCGGAGGCTATAAAATTGGTCATCAAGAATCCCTATTCAAGATAATTGGCTGCCATTATTGTGTTTGTTTTTGAGTGATATTGTGTGTGAATAAATTGTTGTGCAGAGCAGCATCTGGTGTTACTTCCGCTCGTGCGCATGTTCAGAGCAGATTGCGTCTTTTGTTTTTAGGTGGGGTCTGAAATACGCAACAGAAACTCTACGCCAATCCAATGTAGGATCAGCTGGTTTAATAAACGTTATTTTATTATTGCCATATACTGACTTTTATATCCCTCTCCCCGATGTACCTAGCCCGTACCTGGTGTACCGAGCCTGTATTTATGCCCTGGGGAAGGTAAGATGATGCCCAGGATGGAAATGGATAAATACTTCTTACAATAGAGACGTAATGTGATTATTACTATGAAAATATAACTGGCAAAAGTTATTTTACATAGCAACCAAATCAAATTAACCAAACCGAAAGAACAAGAACCTGAATTCAGAAAATATTGGAGCAAAATATTTCAAATAAGTCACGAAGAAAACCTGAATTTCTGTATGAACACCGAGCGACGAGTATCTAATCAAATGACATACACAACCCACATCTGGCAACCGAGACCCAATATACAGGTAGACATAAACACTTGACGATCTATTCTCACTGATCAAACCAGTCACCGCAGACGACACACACAGAGCAATAAACTCATACTCCAGCATCTACCAAACACCATGATACACCAGCTCAGAAACATTTTTAATGCATCTCTCGCCTCTCGCTACTTCCCAAGGAAATTCAAAACAGCGAGCATCAGACTTATACCAAAACAAGGTAAATCCCCCACACAAGTATCAAACTACAGACCAATCTCTCTTCTAGAAACACCGGGAAAAGTCCTGGAAAAAATCACGAACCACCGACTGAGAACACACCTCGAACTTGAAGGGAAATACAATTCAGGCAGCACGGATTTAGAAAATATAGAGGAACCCATACAGCCATAGCCCTTATTTACGAAAACATAGCCAACGCAATGCACAATAGAGATCAATGTAACGTAGTATTAAGGGACGTAACAAAAACATTCGACAAGGTCTGGTACTTACGGCTAAAATACAAAAAAAACAACCAAGAACTTCCCAACAACTTCACTTCTTTTTAATGTAACTTCCTTGATAACAGAGAGGCAAAATTCATCATTGGTAACCACATAGTCCCAAACATCAAGTTATACAGCGGAGTACCACAGGGAAGTAACCTCTCGCCAACACTCTACACAATATACACGGCGGACATGCCACCTCCTACCCACGGAGAATACATAGCCTATGCCGATGACGTCACCCAAATCATCAGACATCCAGGCAAGGGCAAACAGATGATGGCACGAAAAACAGCCCACGCCATCGAGCAAATAAAGAATTGTGAGAAAATGAAAATTTCAAACTAATACGTAGAAACTAAAGATCATTCACATTGCCAAAACAAACCCAGCACCAATCACAGTCAACAATGAACATATACAATACTTCAACGAAGGCAAAACACTGGGACTCACAATGACAAGGACAGGCATAGCAAAACACATAACACAACGCAAAATGCTTGCCCAATCAAACTCACAAAACTACGAAGATTCAGCAAAATGAGCACCAACATTCAATTACACCTATTCAAAGCACTTGTCCGCCCCCACCTGGAGTACCCACCAATACCACTCAGCACGACCAGCAAAACCAGTCAACTTAAACTTCAATCAGTACAAAACAAAGCTATCTGTAGAGCATCAAAGCAACTCCCCCCGTACACCACCAAAACTTCACGAACTATACAATATCGAACCACTGAACACAAGTACACACACTCAAGCTCAGAGAGTATTGGAGGGCCCAATCTTCTCCCAGTTAAAAGAAAAAGAAACCACAAGAACACACTATATGAACAACTAACACTACCATTTAACTAACAAATTATCACACATTACACCAAGGGTGTCAAACTCATGGCCCGCGGGCCAAATGTGGCCCTTGGGATGGTCAGGTGTGGCCTGCAGGATGACGGTAAAATTTATCATCCCGTGAAATTATGAAGAAAAAAAAATAGATATAATCATGTTTATTTAGTAAAATAAATTTTACATCCTTAAGATCAGACAAACCCAAATGAGGTATTCCTGGTAAGCCAGGTAAGGCAATGTGTGAAGCTGTAAACTTCAATCCTACAAATATGTGATATAGCACTTGTTTTGATCTAAGGAGTGGTGCTGTGTATGGTGTGCGTATCGTATTTTTCATTTTGTTATTTATAGTATATACCATGTTGTCTTATTATTCCTGTAATGATGTTAAATTTGCTATTACATTATCTAGTCGCTTACCCTGTGCTGTTAAGGTTTTTTCTGTTATTATTTGTTCTAGTCTTATTTCTTCATTTAGTATTGTAACAAGCATTCTTTGGTTTTAACGACCATCTGCATCGTTAAACGACCAATGTTCACCGGCTGGTCGTTGGCGCTCACGACCATATATATAGTACTCCACCTGTGGACAGAGGCAGTTCAGTCCTCCTGCTTCAAGTTCACATCCTTTGGTGACACTTGTCACCGTTACTTATACTTAATTTGTTTGTGTTGTCCTGTCGCCACCATATGGGTATATCTATGGAGTACCTATTTATGTCTCTATTTATGTCCATCAGTATTTGTTAGTTACATTTAGTAATTCAGTGTTGTTTCACGTTAGTTAATTTCAGTGTTAGTTTTTATGTGTCTATGCAGTGTTAACGTAATCCAATGCTTTTTTTTAGTCTTTAGATGTTTCGATGTTTAGTATTCATTTGTGTCTAAAGTTTCGATGGTGAATCAATTTGTGTGACAGCCTACGAGGCTCTATATTGTGTTAATATTTAATTAGTTAAATTCTAAAGGTTTACTTTATTTATTTTATTCCTTTTAATTTACTTCACTTTTTTGTTTGGTCACGCCTAGAACCTGTGGATATTTAAGTAAATTAAGAGACGGCGTAACAATGTTACCACCCCAACCAAACACCTCGCCTCAGCTAGATGGACAGCCCACCCCATTACTCCCTATTACTTTACTTCCCATTCCTATTCTTTTCCTCTCCTCTCTCTCATGGTAAGGTCCTTTGTCACTTTACTTCATCATCAACATCTGTTTAGAGAGGTTGAGAGGTACTGGCTATATGTTAGCGTCTCGAGGCCCGGGTGAATACATCAAGCCAATTCGGTGTATACACACCTTCCTCCTCATTATGTCACGGGCCTGACTGTAACATACCTAACATAATGTAATGTAACAAAACTAACATTATAACGTGC